GAATGTTTTTTGAAAATATTGTGATAATTTAGTTTTTTATACTTATGATTAAAAGTACTTTTCAGACATTTGACATGGAAAGTATAGAACCACTCGATGAAAGCCAATTGGAAGAAAAACGGTGTAACAGTATGTGGATTCCGCTACTCTGAATGTAACCTTGTTTTTTAGAGCTGTTGTGAAAAATTTGATACTTATGAAAGGTAAGGAAAAAGCGATATACCGATAATTTGTAATGAATTACAAATGTAAATAATTTGTAATAAGTTTATGCAAACACCCCGAAAATGGCTCCGGTAGGTTGTCAAAATGCGCTGAGGAATAAAATGTGCATCGCTCTAGTGGCCTATTGCCTTGAGCTATGACTCAAGAAAAGGAGGAGTCATTAATGACAAGTAGTTAAGATACTTGGTCCGAAGTGTTCGTCGCAAACCGTTAATTTTTTAATAACAGTGTAATGTTTACCGCGGAGGTTCAAGAGCACCGCCGAATGTTACGGAAATGCCGGAAGTAACTACGATGGCAACATGTCACTCCATTTCATAGAGCTTCAGCGCAACCGCTAAAAGCCGACTCTACCTGTGTCTAAAAAGAGCTGAATCAAGCAGCAATTAGCTACCAGATGATTAGCAGCACAACGGAAGGCATCATATCCAGTGATACTACTTTGATAAGTGCCTGTATGTATCGATGTTGAAATGAGTAAAATGGCATGTTCATCCGTATTGCCTATGCTGCGGGTTAAGAATGAGTAACGCATCAACATGCTTGAATGCACACGTGACACAGCCATATTGACTGTTTTTTAATGTAGTGCTATTTGCTAGTCTAAGCATTTGTCAAGGGAGAATTTCTAGACCAATCTTCAACAAAAAATATTTCTTCAAACTGTACGAATCAAAGTTTCGACTCGGAGTTGTGAGGGTTTTTTGGGTCCAGTTATGGTCTATCTTCGCTAAATGAGAGGCATGATTGCTGGGGATGGATATGTAACGGTGGTGGTGGCAAAAAGACAGCTTTCGCCTGCCCGTAATCTCAATTAGGCCTTATCACTTGTTACGATTCTTTTACGGAGGCAAGTAGTTTGTATTCAGTTCATCTAGGTGATTGAGGAGCCATGCTTGAGCCACTTACCTTCTGAACTGAGTTTTCAGTAAAAGTATAAAATATTTTTTCATTCATAATGAATTTGTTCATCGGTGTTTCTGGCAAATCTACCAGTAAACGGGTGGAAATGATTGAGGCAGAGTGATGTTTAATTTGGTTTTACTTCAGTCAAATTATACTACTTCAGTCTGATATATTCAAAACAATCGACTGAAATCGTAAGCGCTCTATCCATCCTATCGTCCAACATCGGGTGGCGGGCCATTGACAGTAATCACAGACTGAGCTACTATAATATTAACTTCTGATTCGTTTAATGTATAGCAAAAATAAATGTGGAACATAACTAGGAAATAGCAATAAATATTTTATAAAATTTAGTTTCTGCAGTTGTCCCGAAAAGTCGCATTTGGCTCAGATGCTTCTTGCCATCAGAACAACAATTTTTTGACTCATTTGCCACTTTTGATATTGATAAATGATTCCATTTAATTTATTCATTGATATGGGCTTTATGATTTTGCTTGTTTCAGAAGAGAAATCTAAAATTTTGGTTTCTAAGGAGGTCGAAGTTGCCACGATTCAACCGGAGCACACTAGGGTATTGTGAGGCTCAAATTTCGACTGGTGTTTATGCGGCTATTACACGTGCGTTATTTTGCAGGTCGCCGAGGAATTCCATTCAGCTGAGAGCTTAGCGAAAGAACTGGCCCTACGTTGCCATAAAATGAAATCGCAAGTTATGCATCAAATGCATGTAAGTTTTTCCGTATATGGTATGATCAATATATAATCTCGTAAATGAGGATGATAATCGTTTGTGATTGTCGTTTTTGTTTGAGATTTAAGATTGCATTATTATGTTAGAAAATGGTGGTGGGGGGGTGAATATGGCCTTTATATGGTTTCTTTGCCTTCTAGTTACAATCAGTTTATTCCCTGGCGATCGCAATGTGAAAAAAACTATTCAGAAACATAAATGTGGGTTGTTTGCCGGCAGTTAGTATTATAGCGCTTAGCTCATCCAATTGCCTGATTTAAAAGCGTATTGCGCCACCTTTCGGTCTTAGATGCAGGGTCCCTTCTCTTGGGGGGGGGGCATTTACAAATGTCACCTTTTCGTGGAGTTTAAGTTTTTGCAGTGCTAAATACATCTCGCATCAGTTTACTTTCTGCACTAAATTTCTACCCATCTCTATAAATGTTTCGGAAGCCAGTGCTCATTTCATGCTGTCCCGAAGCAGCCGTATATGTTTTCTCCTGTGTCGGCGTGTGTTAATCTAGTAAAGTAGATTAAATCCTTTACCAATCAGTAGTATTCAATGAGACTACTGCGCCTTCTAGTCCCAAGGCTAATCAAGTCAAGTTTGATGCTAGATAAGAACTACAGACCTTTCAGCAAGTTTACAAATGATGCGCAAAATGAACGATACAATACACCAGACAAAAAATTTGTACGACAGCGTACAATAAGGTTACACAGGACAAGTTCGGCTGAGTTAGGCGTTTAAACATGTCTGGATCCTTAAGAATCCGGATTATGTGAAGCATAGCTGAGCACTTGAAAGTTTCAATTCTGGCAAACATACAGTTAAAATCGTTGTACGTTGTCTTCACATTTGATTTGCAGCTGCCAAGATGTCGTATAATTGATGGTTAGCTGATGGGTCGAAAGACTGTTAGCTATGACACCAGAACATCTAAACGCTTCCAGTCGTCCACGACACGGTGTCTTTGCGAATTTCAGAAAATATCCCATGAATTGAATGAAATGTTGCGAGAGCTTCTCCAGGTGCTGTGGACTATTCTCTAGCGAAGTTTCCATTCCACTGGTCTATAGGGTATTCTTTCCGTATGGCGCATCGGAGTAAATTTGGTCTTATGCTACGTTCAGACCGAAAAAGATTTCGCGGTCTTCGTTTGCCTTCATTATAATCTCGTTTACTGTTTATTTCCATGTTTGCGACAGGCTTTCATATACATCGTAGTCTTTTGGAAAAGGCACTCCATCTTATGGAATAAAATACGGGAAAGCAGAAAATGAACTCCACCGTATGCCAGTCCTGCACCAGCTGGACGAAATAATAAATGAATTTAAATCCCGTTCATTGAATTGCCTGCTTCAGGTGGTCACCAGTTTCGAATAACCACATGCTTGGCTGCTTCGGTGGTTGCTGTTGAGGTTTCTTTACCTCTCGCTGCTAAGCCTGTTCTTTTCTCTCGTTACATGGGAGAATCTTTCACCCATTCTTATCGTTTTCAAAGCGAATTATTCTATTCGGTTTACGAGACAGTGGTGGCAGAAGGTTTTTTCGACGTTCCACCAATTAACGAGGCCTCATGGTCTGGATTTCTTGAGGCGAAAGTGCCGTTTAGTCCTCAATCTCCCTCTACTGACATAACTGACAAAATGAAGTTTCTTTTATTTCACTAAAAAATTAAAAAATGATATCCGCAAATCAAAACAGTTTTCTGCGTTTCGAAGAGCCTATAAACAAGGAAAATGGTCAAATACCAGAAAAAAATAGTTGGGTTTATTTAGCTATGCGTGTCATTTACTCTATAGTCGTATAATAACGATGCAGTGATAATCAGTTTTCTACAGATATCTTTATGCCTTTAAGGCAAATCTACCAATGCAGAGTAGTCAAATGCGAGCTACAGATCCGGATGGAATAATTTGGAGTTAACTTCAACATTAATTCTAAATGAGTGCATAAAAAATTTTGTCATGCTCTCCACCTCGTGAATAGACAATTAAGGCTCACAAGAAAGAGTATTAGAGAAGAAGAGTCCATCGCGTACTTAATTATAAAACTCGGGAATTTACAACTTAAAATGTTTCACAAGTTTTTGCATAATATCATTCTGGTTTTGTCTTCGACTGCTAAATTTCACAGTTCTTTACATGCCCCTCCCCGGGGAGGAAAGTTTTTAAGAAATCCTGTGAAGTTAATAGAACTGATTCTGATTCCATGGTTGGCAGCGCAGAAAACAAGAAAAATTTTATATACAACTCTTGCAATATTTCGACCGAATCGGCATCAGTCATCATCAGGGAATGAACATACGGCAAATAACTGCTAGGTTATTTGATGCTTGATGCGACTGGGTGGATTGCTAATTAAGCAGTTAATTGGACTCCCACCGTAGATACGTCTATAAAATTTTTAATTCCCAACCGTTTCAAGTTCTGGTTTTACCGGCTGCAATACGAAGCAACTCCTTGATTAGGAGCCTCATTTTGTCACGGGATGATCTGTCACTGTGACATCGGTTATGAGCTTCCTTCAGGACATAGACAATGAAACCGCAATGATCAGTGTTACAGTTGCTGATGACT